GAGAGAGAACTGGAGCTGCCCCCCCCCACAGGCCCCTGTCTGCAGCAGACAAGGCTTATAGGTCAACCCGTTAAACGTTCGCAACCCTACCACCCCACACACCTGGAACCCTGTTTCCACCTGCTCTGCACTTGCTGGAGTGTTCCCCTTTTGGACTGAGATGGCCCAGAGTTACCTGCTGCGTTCCCCGCCCACTGTGCCGCTGTCAGTTTTGCCTTGAGAGGGTGTGAACCGACGTCACCCTCCCTCTTGGTTGGAGTCCAGCCAAACCAGCTAGTCCGTGGCCAGGAGCAGGCCGGCTTGGGGTTCGCTGCATGAATTCACCGTTCCTCCCCCTTCCCGTAGCCACGTGAACAACGGGCTGTTAATCTCCCAGGGGATCGTGTCCACACTTGTGCTGCTTCTGCTGGACCTGGCTTCTGCGGTGGTGGAGGGAGCGACCGAGGGCCTGGAGTTGGTAAGCAGGGACGTGCTGGTCAGCAGGGCCAGGCCCCAGCTGCCTGAGGCGTCGCTGTGCAGGAGGGAGGTGCCCCACGCTGCTGTTCTTGCTCTTTCAGCTCCTCTGTCCTGTGCTCCGGTGTCTCAGCAACCTGCTTGCGGAGGATGAGCCTGAAAGCTGCAAAGTGCAGATGCAGGATGAGCGCCTCCTGGTGGCTGTGTTTCTCTTCATGCAGCGCTTCCTCCAGCAGCACCCCTTCCTCGTGCAGGAGTGCCTCTGGCTTCTCAACAACCTCACAGGTGACCCCCCCCAGGCTGGACACAGCCGGACGGGAATTCCCCTAGGGCAACAGGAGCAAGTAGGGCATGGAACAGCTTCCACCGGAGGAGATTAGAAAGCCTGGACTCGGTGTCTTAGAAAGGGGAAGGGGAATATGACCGAGCTCTATGACTGCTATGGGGGGAGTGTTTTGTGCCTTCATGTACAACAAGAATTGGGAGTCACCCCTGTAATTTATTGGCAGCAGGCTTAAAACCACCACGAGGAAGTACTTGGGCACGCAACAGCCAATCTGTGGAACTCCCTGCCAGGTGATGTTGCAAAGGCCAGAGTATAACTGGGTTCAAAAGGGAATTAGCTGAGTCTCTGGAGGATCAGTCTGTCAGTGGCTACAGCCCCATGCCAGGGCGTGCCTTCATCTCTGACTGCCAGAAGCAGGGCCTGGGTGACGGGGTGGATCACTCAATGCTTGCCCTGTTTTGGTCATTCTTCGGAAGTACCTGGCATTGGTTGCTGGCGGCCGGCAGGATGCTGGGCTAGATAGCCCATCGGTCTGACCTAGGATGGCTGATCCTATGTAGAGTCTCCTTACATCTAGCAGCAGCCGCTGTGGTTCTCTACCTCAGTGCATGTGCCCAGGGGCCTTCCCGGAAGGGGGCTCTCAGTAATCCCTCTGGGTTTCCTTAATAGCTTTATCTCCTGATCTTCCCAGCTGATGAGCCCATCTTCTGCTCTGCCCTGCTCACGCTGGACCTGCTCCCCGCCCTCCTGCAGCTCTTGCCCTGCTCCGGCACGGTGACCCTGCTGGTAAGGAATCTCTCGCGCCAGGGGATGCTGCATCCCCTAGAGCAGCCAGGCTCCTGTACAGGCGAGGTCCAGGGGTAAATCAGAGGTTTTATCAGCCCATGGGGAGGGGAGTACCCAGTGCCTCACCCCTGTTACTTGACCTCTGCCCGACTGGGTTCTTTATAGCCAGTCCCCTCCCCCGTTCCGTACTGGCTTCTGTGTTCACACCTGCGCACGGAGGGCTAGTCCATTGAAATGCTCTCGCCCGTCCCTGTGCCTGGGGTGGCATCGTGGGAGGAGCTGGCAGGGTAGGAGGTGGGCTAGGGTTAGGGTTAGGGGCGAGCTCTCGCCCTGCTCGTGTGTTGTGCCAGCAGGAGCCTGCTTTGGCTGCGGCTCCCCCCAGGCCGGCAGGGAGCGAACGCAGCGGCCGTGGTGCAGCCCGCAATGGCACCGGGCACACACATGCTAAGTACAGGGAGCAGACTCGGTGTCGCCCTGCCCGGAGCTGCGCAGACAGTGGCAGGCGAGGGGCTTGTAGCTGGCCAGCCTCTGCCTTCGAAGCTTTGCTGCACTGCAGGGCCACTTCCCCATGCCCCGGCGAGAGCTCCCCAGCCTGCACCGTCCTGGGCACGGGGCCTACAGTCCAGCGCCAGACGCCTGCTTTCTCTCAATATAAAGCTTGTGGCCAACTTCAGTTCGGTCAGTTCCCCGGGGCTCAGCCCCTGAGCCCTGCAGCTGGGGATCCTCACGCCAACCCCCTCTAGGCTCTGACCGTGCTGTGCAACGTCGCCGAGAAGGGCCCTGCCTACTGCCGCCAGCTGCACCAGAAGGCCGTGCTGCCCTCGCTGCTCAGCACCCTCGCTCTCTCCGATGCCCAGGTCGTGGGCCAGAGCCTCGAGCTGCTGCATCTGCTCTTCCTGCATCTGCCAGAGGTAGGGCTCGGCCAGGCCTCTCGCTGCCCTGCGGTGTGCCTGGCCGGGGAACCACGCTGGTGCCCGAAAGGCTTCCCCCACCCTGAGCCGGGAACAGCGGCTGTGCTGTGGAAAGGTGGCAAGGTAGCCCTGGTCCCTCCAGGCCTCTGTATCCAAAGAGCAGGGGGAGCGCAACCCATGGGAACTGTACCGTGTACCAACCTCACCTCCAGCTCCCTGGCTCTAAGACGGGGCTACCTCCGGCGGGAGGTGCCTTCCATGTTAATCCTTCAGCCCCTCCTCCCGGAGCCAGGCGTGATGGGTTCTGTGACCGAGACCTCGACCCCGTCCTCCCTCCGGGGCTGCTCAGCCGCCTGCATTAGGCCGGGCCTAGCTGTAATCTGCTCGCTCTCTCCTGCAACAGGCTGCTGCCGACTTCCTCAGCCAAGCAGGCCTGCAGGCCCTAGCACAGCACCGGGACAACCCCCCACTCCAGGAGCGGGTGAGGGCTCTGGAGGAGAGATACCTCCAGCCAGCTGCAGCCACTCCGGTCTCCCCCATCCGTGCCTCGGCTGCTGCACTGCCCTCCTAGAGACACTGCAGCCCCCGCGTCCCTTCCCAGTGCCACTGGCTCTAGCCCATGGACTTTGTACAGCGAGAGCTACTTTGGAATTGAATAAACATTTACACTGCGCCCTCTGCCGTCACAGCGAGGAGTCAACTGCACCGGCCAAGCTCCCCCCAGCTGCCTACGGGCGGTTCCCTGGAGGATGGCAGCCTAACTCAAGCCCATGCACCACCAGCGGGTAGCCCGTCCTTCTCGGTACATGTACCCCCCTTGCCCCGCACACAAGCTGTGCTGCTGCTGAGCCTGCTCAGGCGGGGAGCAGAGGTGGGGCTCAGCCGAGGAGGAGGAAAGTGGCTAAGTCCTGGACAAGACGTGGGTGGAACCTCAGGGGCTTTGCTCCCTCCTCAGTGACCCCAACACTGTGCTGGAGTCTGAGGAGCCACCTCCCAGGTTAGCACCTTGCTCAGAACAGACTCTCCAGCAGTTTGCAGACACGTTTTTATAGGCGATTAATAAGTTACAATTACAGGTGTACAGCTGCTCCAGCCACCCCATTCAGGCGAGGGCCCCGCACGTGTGGGGTCAGTTCTCTTGGCCTTCATGCTTTGCTGTGAACAAGGGTTTCCAGGGCCTTGGCCACTTGGTCCACATTGAGATTGTCCAGTGACACGCAGCTCTCTCTGCCGAACTCTGGGGGAAAGAGAATGACATGAGGCGGCCACCTTGTTCCTTCCCCAGGAGAGGCAGGGCCAGAGTTGTTCCCTAGTGCAAACGGTGGGTCATCATCCCTTTTCAATGGAGTCACCAGCACTGGCTTAGGCTTGCTGGGGCCCGGCCCTGACGCCACAGGGCATCAGTCCTGGGCAGCAGCGTACAGACAATGGGAGCTGCAAGGGTGTTGCTGAGAGGGGCAGTGGGTGGTGCTGGCTGGCTGTAGAACCAGCCAGAAAGGGGACATGCTGCTGCTTCCAGGAGCCACGTAGAGCCACAGCATTCAAGGAGCAGGACCAGCCCCATAGCCCACTTCTCAGTGGGAGCTTCAGGGCCAGATGCAGCCCGTGCCCTCCTCTGGTTTGAGCACTTCTGAAAGGCAGAGTCACTACTACTGCAAGTACCCTGATTTCTGCACTTCCTAACGAGTTAAACCCTAACCCACTTCCATTAGTCAAGGTTTGCCTTTATTTTTACAGTGTCTCTTTGCTTTCACCTTTCCCAAGGCAAGCAGGCCCTAACCTCATCTCTCCACTATGGAAACTCCCCCACAATGCCATTTGCACTGCTTTCCTGGACTGTGACCAGCTTATTGCTGGAAAAACGTAAACAACGAACAGTACTGCAGCACCTTCAAGACTAACAAAACATGCAGATGGGATCAGGAGATTTTGTGGGCACAACCCACTTCTTTAGTGTCATCTGAAGAAGTGACACAAAAGCTCATGATCCCATCTGCATGTTTTGTTAGTCTTGAAGGTGCTGCAGGACTGTTTGTCATTTAAGTTTTTCCAGGTACAGACTCACTCAGCCCCCCCCTCTGAAACGTCGCTGAATTTCTAGTTGATACAGGCCACAGCATTCTAGGCAACCTCAGAGCTAATGCCACCGGCGAGGGCAGGGCTCGCTCCCCACTCACCGTATCGCGCCCAGAGCTTGGGTTGCACATCCGAGCACTCCCGGATCAGGATGGGGAAGTCTGGGTTTGCCTTCTTCAGAGTCACGTAGTGCTGGTCAATGAAGTCCCTGCAACAGCAGCGTCAGGCCCCGGCCCCTTGGCACTTCCAAGGACAGCCGCGAATC